CCCCAGGAAGAAGAGGACATTGAGCAGGCCAACAGCGACAGCAGTGTCCAAAGCAGCAGCAGCAGCAGCTCTGGCAGCAGCCACTCGACAGTCAACAAGAAGCCAGCAAGCCAGCCCGCGCAGCAAGCACAAATTGTTGAGGCTGTAGCAGAGAACACTCAAGCAGAGCCTGCTCCAACTACTGCGAACACTCCGGCCCTTACTGACACCTGGATGTAGATGTGCAAAGTTCTGCTATCCAAATGTACATGGGATTTCTGCTTTCCAACCATCAAACAAACAACCTTCAACCACCTATAAACCCTAAACCCTAAACCCTAAATTTCGTATAGAGCGAACCAGCAGCACTGCCAGCCCAGGAAGACCAGCGGCACTTCGTGGCCAACGACTGGTTCATGAATGCCTTGGATGACATACTGGGCGGGGTCGATCCTATGGCGAGCAGCTTCTGGTCGGCAACCATTGAGGTCTTGCATTGTTAAAGTTGGTTGCAAGCGATGAATCAAACTCGCTTTTTGTGGCTTGGGACTTCGTGTAGAAATCGTCACCCTGCTTTTAGGGGTGCTAGGTTCAGAAATCAGGCAGTTTGCTTATCGATCTAGGCCTTTTGGGCTTCGCACGAAACTTCAGCAGCTTAGTGTCTGGAATACTTGTGCAATCATATAGAGGGTGTCAGCCATGGCCTGTGACGATTCCGATGACGAATGGCTACGGGAACTCTTGCAGCAACCAAAGACGAAGAGTCGCCATGAATTCCATTGGAAGAGGTGTTCTTGTGTGTTTCTTCTAACCAGAATAACAAGGGGTCGGTCCACTGAAGACTTGTGTTGAAGCCAAACATTTGTTTTCTAGGTCCCGATCTCGTGCGACTAGCATCTCCTGTTGGCACTCAAAGATTGGCTTCCCGCAACTACTGGAAAAGCTTGGTTCCTGCAAATCTGCACGGTTTGCCTGGTCTTAGCGCTGTGATGAACGAAGTGCTCGCCCACCCCTGCATCAAGCTGGAAGTGTTGCCGACGACGGTTTTGGCCAGCAAGTTGCTCAATCATGCTAACAATCTGATCCGAGCAGTCCCTGTAGAGTCAAAATTCAAAATCGGTCTCACAGTGCACCCAGTGCATCGCTGGCAGAACCCGCAGTATGGCTACAATCGTGAAACTTCGCTTGTGTGGTCTAAGATGAGACTAGTTTGCATCTTACAATATGGGGAGTCTGCTGGAATGATGGAAGCTGCTCTCATTCAAGCCTGGGCTTCAGACCATCGGTGTGTTAATGAAGCTGGTGGTGGGGAATCTGTTTTGAAGCAAGCTGGCCCTTTCTTCATCTATGTAGTGGTGTCGGCCTGCTGAAGTGTCGAAGTCGCGAATGCTGCAATTTGTAAACTCACCAGCCATGTTCCAATATGTGCTTGGGGTCAGCTTGCAAAAGCTTTCGTATCGCTGCTGGGGTGTTGCTACAAAAAAAGCACGTCAGCTCGGGATGCAGCTCCTTCCCTAGCACGAGACCCAAAAGGTAGGCCCTGAAAAATCCCGAAAGGTACGCCCTGAAAAGCCCTTCTCATTCCTCGCCCGACACCCTATATATAATTGGCCTATATATTGAACCCGCCCCCAAACTCCAGTCGCCCAGGTTCGTTGGCGCCCTCCGAGCCACAGCAGTCGACCGCTGCTGCCAGCACGACGCCGGTGCCAGCAGAGACTCCTGATGCAGTGTGCTCCAAGCCCATACAGCCCAAAGCCAAGCAGGACCGGAATGATCTACACATAGGGGGGGGGTTGACAATACTTTATTAGTGATGTATTTCAAAGATATCCTGCAAGTGATGAATAGGAGACCAAAGCCAAAGCCCCGAAGAACAACAAGAGCCACGATGAGGGCAAGGTCCCCGCAAAGGCCCAGAAGGATCGAGAGAACAAGACCGGGTGTGGTGAAGGGACGGAGAAGAAGAAGGACGTTGATGGGTCTTCTCGCAAGGAGGGGGAGACCTGGTGGAATGATGAGATGGGTAAAGGCCTGCGACAGCACAAGTCGGGGGTCGAAACGTCTTCGGCCCCCTTTGTCGAGGAAGACTTCGTGTATGTTGGCTTCAAGGATGGCTCTAAGTGGCGAACACCCCTGATGCCAGCAGATGTGGAGAAGTTCCAAGGTAGCCTTCCCAAGGCTGCCAGTGCCCAAGCAAAGCCCAAGAAGGCTCCCAAAGCCAAGGCAGACGCCAAGAAACCCGTGCCAGACTATAACCTCAAGACGGTTCGTGTGAAGTATGCCACCCAGGGCAGCTCCAATCCTATCGTCAAGCTCGAAGTGAAGCAGAAGGAAGACGGCAGGTGGCGACAAAAGTTGCAAATGGTCGTTAAAGAAGGCATCACACCGGTGTATTGCATGAACATTTGCTCAACGATCGCCGATTGCTTCGAGAATTTCCCGATGGATGAAACGAATATGGACTTCAAGGCATGCCGAGATTGTTTGGTGGAGTGGGGTGAAGATGGCAACCATGCCTTCGAAAAGGAGAAGATGGACTGGAGGGAGGTCAGCAAGATTGCAAACATGCTGGAAACCGAGCAGACCCTAGCTTGCACTATCGCAGTTATGGTATTACAAAACCACAACACCTTCCATTACATTAGCGAAACAGAAATGCCCGCCCAGGAAGGACGAGAAGAACGACGCCGACGAGAACGATGCAGGGGCCGAAGCCGGCGAGGAGGAGGAGCCGGAGAACGATCCGGATGATGATGGTGGTTCCTAGGCTACTTTAGCTTCCTTCCTGCAATTGCGAGGGTTCTACTCTATCTGGGCTGGGTTCTTTGTTCGTGTGTGGGCATCAAAAGTCGTAAGGTTTGGATCGGCTCGCCAGTGCTGCCTCGAGTATTCTTGCTGCTCGCAATGAGGATGACATGGACTAGGTTGCTGTGCCGCAATAAGAGCAACATCTTCCGAGAAGTAATGTTGCAAGGTTGTGCCTCAGCCCTCGAAAACGCCCCACTCCCATAAACCTAAACCCTGAACCCTGGACCCAAACCCTAAACCCTCTACCCTAGACCCTAAACCCTAAACCCTAAACCCTAAACCAAAAAAGTCCTTGGTTCCAGAACACAGAATCATCCGAGGCCACGGTCGCCTCAGTCGCAGCGAGTGGATCGGCAAGGCTTCTGGCATGGTGTGAAAGGTCCAGGTTCCGGTGTATAGCTGTTGCTTGCCTTTAATGTTCACGAGCCAACGGTTCCATGTTCACATAAGTAGTGTGGTTTAGAAATGGTCACTGCCGGGAACGGTTGGCTCAGATTCAAGTGCCAAGACATGTGCGAGCAGACCCCTGCCCTTCAATCTTCAAGGCCTTCAAGCCCCAGCCCTACACAGCCTGAGGAAGCTCCAAAGCACATGTGAAGTCTCCATTGCCATTCGCTGATTAGGATGCAACGCAGCCCTGCAATGTTGAGTGTGCAGGGTCGCCAATTCTCATGGGTTGGGGTGTCAAAAGGGCCTCCGGGTTAAGTGCTATGTCAGGGTAATGTGCCATCAAGAGTCAGGGCTCGCAGGTTTGCATCGTCCGCACAGCAGGAGCCACGCAGCAGTCCTGGGATTGCATCGTGGTGAGAGCTCCATACCCCTATATAAGCCCTAAACCCTACCCTAAACCGAGTGTCTGAGCTTCTCCAATTAAATATGGTATAGCTGTGTAACCATATGTACATAACATGTACTGTTGTCATTTTATATCGCTATATACGTATATACATATATACATATATACACATAACACATATATACATATATACATATATATATATATATTTGTATATATATATATATATATATTTATGTATTTATTTATGTCTGTATTTATACCCTATCGCACTCCTTGGAATGAGGGGGAACCAGTCGTATGCCATACGACTGAAACATTGTCTTTTACGCCCCGGAAGGGGGGTGGGGTGGACTCTACAAATTTGGTTTGGTTCAAACCAAACCCAAAAAATTTGGGTTTGGTTTGGCTTTAACGAGACGGGCGGGGGGGGCGGGGGGGGGGGAGGGGGTGGGTGGGGGGATTGGGGGGGTGGGGGGGGGGGGGTGGGTGGTGGGGGGGGGGGGGGGGGGGTCAGACCAGAATTGTGTGGTTTGGTGGGTGGGGGAGTGGGGGGGGGGGGTGGGGGCGGTCACCCAAAATTGGGAGGGGGGGGGGGGGGGGGTGGGGAGGAGAGGGGGGGAGGGGCAGAGGGGAGGGAAGGGGTGATCATATATATATATATATATGCATCTATATATATACACATATATATATATATACACCTCTGCACCTTACAGAAAAATGTGCATACATAGATTATTAAACCCTAAACCCTAAACCCTAATTGAAACCTAAACCCGAAACCCTAAACCCAAACCCTAAACCCTAAACCCAAATAACCAAGCTCTCCGAAGATTTTGGCAATCGCCAGACATGAGCTTCTAGGGGATCCATGAATGGAACCGCTGGCATAGGCCGCATAAATCGCTCTAGTATTAACGCTCCAATTCAGCTTTGTTTGCCATGAAATTGGATCCCCTAGCCACATGTCTCCTGCTGAGTGGATCCATTTACGACTGGTGCTTTCTCATTTTCGCAACAATCACAAGATCTTTGCTGTACCTGCAAAAACACCAAAACCAGCAATGAGCCGATGAGGTCCTGATATCTGTAGAAGCATTACAAGAATGAGGTCCTGAAAAAAGGCCCCCCAATGAGCCTCCCGATGAGCCCCCCGGCCCTCGATGCGATGAGGTCCTGGTCTATGTAGAAGCATTACATGAATGAGGTCCTGAAACGACGACCCGACGACACCCCCGATGAGGCCCAATGAGCCCCTACCGCCTTAATTTCGTGCTCTAGTTTTCTTGGTTTTTCGTGTCTGCAGTACTACACGTATACCGGTTGTGGCTCTAAAATGGTAAAGGAACTGAAGCTGCATAGTCAAGGCCCATCCTGGTAAAGAGCAGTTTGTGGCCCCATCGAACCAGCTATGGCTAGCCCAGACAGCCAAGAGACCCTGACCCTCGACGGTGAGGCAGAAGTTGAGGAGACTCTAGTCATGCCCGAGAATCCTCCTGCTGCTGCAGAGACACCAGCAGCAACAACGTCGGCAGAGCATCCGGCTGCAGTGCCTGCCAACAAAGTGGAGGTGCCATCGGGTGTGAACATGTCGCTTGCCGTGGAGAACTATGCAAAGCACCATTCCCTTTCCCCGGACGATGTGAGTCATGCCCAGGTGCTGAACTCTGTTGAAGGGGTCTACCATTGGTGCACTGCACATCAGGACATGTCGGCACGGGGCCCAGCAGCCCAAGCCCTGAAGAGGGCTTTGAAGTGGCAGCCCGATCTTGAGAAAGCTTATGGCTTGTTAAAGGACTCAATGAAAGTGGACTTTAGGAAGGCTTGGAGTTCCACAAAGAAGTTCGACTTCGTTCGCTCCGAGAAATCCAGTTCCAACAGCTTTCTCAAGAGAAGAGAGGAGGCTGGCCGCTTCGTGACGGAACTCCAACTCTTGGCCATTTTGGGGGGCGATTGCCCAGAGGCGAAACGACAGTGCCAGCACTACATGCAGATGTGCAGCCGGCCCGAGCTCAAGGAGCTTCGTATGGGTTTTGTTGGGTTGCATTTTTCCTCATACTTTTGCACCAATAATTAGTTGCAATTGTTTGTCAATGTTCCTCGTGCACAGGAGTATTGCACAGTCTACAACACGTGGCTGGATGCCCCGACGTTCTTCTGGGTCCAGACCCTCATTTCCACATCGAATGTGCAAGAGTGGAAGGCTAAGGTAACCATCGAGGCCACGGACGTGCTCCCAAATTCGTGGGCTGCCAAGATCGAGGCCTGTAAAGCTATGAGGGCTTACTCGGTGCAGGAGAATGTGAGGCTGCAAGATGTCACAGAGGACATGGTCAAGGCCACACAGCTCGGCTTGAAGGGGTACGCATCCCTCTACAGCACCCTTCCTGCAGCTGCTCCCAAGAAAGGAGGCGATGGAACCAACAATCATCCTGCACCCCCGGCCCCGCCTGGGAACAAGAGGAGGCGAGGCGAGCCAGATGCAGCCGATGATTCAGTGCCTGCCGAGCCCGAGAAGAAGGCCCGAGGAAAGAAGGACAACACGGGCGCAAAGAAGGAGAAGGAGGTCAAGGAGTTCCTTGCTATGGAGCAAGCAGCAGACAACGTCATGAGTAAGCTGGCTACTGCTATGGGCAAAGATCCTTCTTGGTATGCTTGGGCGACCGAAGCCGTTACAAAGTACAAGGCACACAGGACAACCTTGCTTCGGGGCTACTGTGACGAGGCTTTTTTTCAAGCGGTCAAAGTGGCCGCTCTCAGTCCCAAAGAGACTGCAAAGCTAAAGAAAGAGTATCAGGATGAGTATGTAGGCAAGTTGGTTCAGTTCGTGACGACAATGGGGCCACTTATTCAGCAGATGGCTGAAACGGCTTTCCAGATTGAACACATGGCTTCAGCCAAACGCTCGGCTGCTGAGAGCTTGAAAAGCCAGTGGCAAGCCCCGAAAGCAAAAGCAAAGCCCAGGTCCAAACGTGTCAGTCGCACGAGCTCGTCCAAGAGTTTGCCCTCTGTGTAGGCCGAGCCTACAGCTTCGTTTTCGTGGGTTGCAAGCAGCAGATGTTCCGAAGGGAAGGGTCAGGGCTTGGGGCTTACTTTAGGGTTTCTTGCTATTGGTTCCACCCGTGTAAAAAGACCACAGTTATATGAACCCTAAGTTTTAAAAATCCTAGCAGCACTGGAAACCCTAAACCCCCTAAACCCCCTAAACCCCCTAAATCCCCTAAACCCCTAAACCCCCTAAACCCCCTAAACCCCTTAAACCCCCTAAACCCCCTAAACCCCCTAAACCCCCTAAACCCCCTAAACCCCCTAAACCCCTTAAACCCCCTAAACCCCCTAAACCCCCTAAACCCCCTAAACCCCCTAAACCCCTATGACAACCTTTGCTAAAAGGCCCACCCCGGTTTTGCATATTAAAGCCCAAGGCCACAGAAACGAAGATGTAGGGTTTAGCTAGGCTTTAAGGGTTTAAGGTTTAGGGCTTAGTAGTTAGTAGGGTTTAGGGTTTAGGGTTTAGGGTTTAGGGTTTAGGGTTAGGGTTTAGGGTTTAGGGTTTAGGGTTCAGGGTTCAGGGTTTAGGGTTTAGGGTTTAGGGGGTTTAGGGGGTTTAGGGGGTTTAGGGGTTTGTTATTTGTCCCTATACTGCTACAAGTAGCTTAGGCTTATTCCCACCACTTGTACAAAAGCATTCCTGCTGCTTGTGTCGGGGCTTTCCGGGTCTTCTCATTGTCTTCCTATGAAGGCAATCGCAGCCCGATGGATTGGGGATTGCTCGTCAAAAGCGCGGCAAAATGATCGGAGGCTCATGTGTGCTGGGCCCCCCGATATGTCAATCATGCAGAGCATTACGTTTCTTCGACCATGCATCTACGAATCTACATGCAGCTCCGGCCCGTGTGTAGCTGTCGGGTGGCATCATGAGCTTCAAGAGAGCCAGGGCAGAGCAGCAGTCCGGGGGTTATGGGTTGGATGATGCCTGGGTCTGTGATGCAGATAGAGACTTAGAGGTTCAGGCTGGGGCCAATTTCCGGAAGTTGCTACTCGAGAAGTACACCGACGGTTCTTTCACTGCTGCTGACACCTGCCTTCTTGCTTTCTTTCACACAGCATCTGGTGGCATCGGAGCTGAAGATCTCGGGCTCGCACCGGAGCAAGCTTCCCGACACGGCTCCGAACACTTGAGGTTCCAAGCCCCATATAGAACCCAACCCCTATCCCCCTGAACCCTTTCGAATAAACCGTTTTTGTTTTTTGGGTATAGCCCTCAAACCCAAGCCTTTCCCGCAAGGTGCCACCTTCGCAAAGAGTTTTCAGAACCCCATGTGCAATGGATCAAAGTGCCCATGAACACCAAGAAGTCAATTGGAAGGACTGCTGTAGATCACCCCAGTCGTGTTCCTTCATGTATGATCCGGGAAGAGCTTCGAAATCTACAGATCTTGGGGCCCAGGCATGCTCCAGAACCTGATGTCGCCAAGTTTCTTGAAAGTGATCGCACGCTGGGCGACCTCTATGAAAAGCATCCCGTCACGGTGCAGGGCCTGGCCGAAGGTTTTGGCAGAGAACACATTGTACCTATCTCCGTTTACTTTGATGGGGTCCAGTATTCGAAGAATGAAAACTTTCTGGGTTTCTACATTACTAATCTCCGAACAAAGGAGCCACGGTTGGTGTGGCTTCTGAGTGCCCTGAAGTGATTTAGACGCCTTTGCTTCACATAGGGTTTTTTTATCGAGTTTCGGGTTTAGGATTTTATGTTCGTTTTGTTTTCTAACCAGTTTATATAGTCGTACAACAGCAAGATTCCTGAAGAAAGGATTGTCCGACTTGTGCACTTGTGGTTGTCGGGGATGGTGTTCGGCATGGCCATTGCTGGAGTTCTTCAGACAGGATGTTTCAACTCTTCACGACGACCTCAGACTGGCCATCGTGGATTTCAAAGCCGACTGGCCAGCTCTAGTGGAGATTTGTGGCTTACGAACATGGAGTCATAGTCTGCATTGTTGCCCTTGCTGCCTGTGTCCTAAGACGGACTTGCCGAAAGTTGGGCATTTCTCGTTGATGTCCTGCCCATACCCTTTATTGGACAACGAGGCGATGGCTGAGATTTTAGATAAGAGCTTCAAGGACTTTAGGGTTCAACGGTTTAGGGTTTCAGAAGGGTTTAGGGTGTAGGGTTTAGGGCCTTTATAGGGTCTAGTTCAATCCGGAAAAGGCAAGTGTCGGTTTAGGCTAATGTAGTTCCACACTCAACCTCTTCAAAACCCGAGCTATCTTTAGATCTTTATGAATGTAGGCTGGCTGGTCGCAGGAGGTAACAATCTTGAATGGGGAGATGCAGAAGGCCATCTACAGGATATTGGTGTATCGTAGCAAGAGAGGGCAAGCTCTTGGCCGAACTTTGCAACAAGCTTTTGAACCACTGGGCCTCCCCAAAGGAGCACGATTGGAGCCAAGCGCCCAAGTTCCTGATGTTGGACTCTTCGAAACACTGGAGTGCCCGTTCGTTTGCCAGTTCTATGTGGGGGGTCCCCATGGTAGGGTGCTACACGACTCACCTTTCCTGAAAATCCCGGGTGTCGATCTATCTACTTGGTGCATTGATTTGCTACATTCCTGGCACTTTGGACCTCTATCAACTTATGTTACAGTGACTTTACAACACCTTTTGCAGTCTCCAATTTGGAAGTCATCGATTCCGGGCTTAGACAAGGACGAGAACAGCAAGCTATCCCTGATGGCATTGAAAGCAGAGTTGTGGACCCACTACAAGAACCGGCGCAACCGAGATCCGAATTGGAAGAAGAAGGGATCCGAGGCAAACCAGTCCTGAATATCAGCCCTCAATCTCCCGAAAACCTTAAGCAATTGTCTTCGCAACTTTGCCCGCTAATTTCTAGAACCCCTTATAATCACCCTAAGCCCTGAGCCCCAAGCCCTAAGCCCGAAACCCAAAACCCTGCAGGTTTGGAACCTCACTTTGAACATGTTGTCCGACAAGTACCTTAAAGCCAAAGCAGCCGAAACCCATGGTCTGTTAGGTTTTGTTCTGGAGATGTTGCAGAAGCATGCAAGCACTTTGTCAAGCACTGGTACCCAGCAAGATCAAGTACGGTTTCAGTTGCTCACACATGCTGGGGTATCTGCTGAAGCTTTCGATGGTGTTCTTGCTTCGCACGAGCGAAAGATCGATCAGAGTGTCGCCGAAGACCTTTTCAGCCACTACAATCGGTTCATTGTTCTTTGTGATCGGGCCGGCTTGCCAATCTTGCCCAAGGCTCACCTTATGTACCACTGTGTGCAGCGATCGCCTGCAAAAGGGAACCCTCGTTTGTACACGACTTACGTTGACGAAAGCTATAACGGAGCTATCGCTCGAGTCTGTCGCTCTGTGCACCGGAGAGGTTGGGCACTCGCTGTCTATCGTAAGCTTGAGATGATTGAGCAGATGCAGGCCAAAGCCGAGGATCCCTCTTGAGCCTTTTCTGTGCTCTTCTTTTGCTTTTGACAGCAAGGGCACTTTGAGCCACACGAGTTGGCTACACTAAGCCCCTACACCTTAAAACCCCCAGTGGCATTCCCTTTCCTTACTATATTCGTCCCAGAAGAAACCTCAAACACTCAGCCCTTGCTGTCTAGGGGTCGGGGCTGGGGATAAAGCTTGCCGAGCTGCAGTCCACCGCCAGCAGCAGCCGAAAGGTGAGAATTGGAAGAGGGAGGGTTGAGGGTTGGGGTTTGGGGTTTGGGGCTTAGGGCTTAGGGTTTAGGGCTTCGGGCTTAGGGCTTTAGGGCTTAGGGCTCTGGGTTGAGACCTTATAGGGCTGAGGGTTTATAGGGGTCAGGGCTGAAGGGTTTGGGCTTCGGGCTTCGTTAGGCTTCGGGTTCAGGTTGTGGGGTTTGCAGTTCGCGGAGTTTAGGGTGTTTGGGAACCGTCTTTCAGGTTTGAGGTTCTGTTTTGGGTTGAGGGTCTATAGAGGTGGTCACCAAAGCTCTTTGTTTCACAGCCCCAACTCGACCTACACCCTATAGCTATCGTAACCCCAAGCCCCAAACCCTAAGCACTTATATTTGTTCGACCCTTGAAGGGTTTGGGATTTAGGCTGATAGGGAGGCCGAAACTCTGAACCCTTAACTTCCAAACCTTGAATTCCCAAAGTTGCCCAAGGCCCAAACCCTGTAAAGCCGTATTCGTGCAATATCCTTATACATACAAACACACAAGGCCCAGAAATCCTCAACCCCTATATAGCAGATAAGTATATATTTTTTGATAAGGCCGAGATGGTTCCAGAAAAAGATCAGGGCCTTATAATATACAGTTTTTTTTTGTTTGGCTCAAGACCGGCAGGCTCGCTCGGGCATCATGAGCATTTTTCCAGGTGCACACAGCCAAGTTCCTTAAATTTGCTGGCCATTGCTGGAAATACCAGTGGCAACGGGGAAAGCTCGATTCTTGTTTTTTGTTGGTGTGGCCATGGCAATGTTGCACGGTTCCATTTTTTGAAGGCGGTTCCATTTTTGACACGGCGGTTCTGTTTTCCTATCTTGAGCAGGGTTCCATTTTTTGGATCCACGCGGTGGTCTGGGATCGGGCTTCCAACCATCACTTTGCAAGATGCTGTGTGCGCGCCGAGCTTCAGTGTTCAGGAATGTATGATCTGCGACACACTCCATAATCTCGTCAATTGGACGACTCAGCAACATCCCAGTGATTTTGCCCACATAGTCCTTATCTATTGTTTCATCTTCCAGGAGATTTCTATAGATCTTTTCTCCATAGAGCTGCCTCTGCTCAGCTTCCTCTTGTTCTTTAGAGGATGTTTTTGAATCGGCAAACCACTCACGGGACTGCCGTTCTTCCGACTTCCAGTCCCATTGACCGTCGGAACCTTGGTACCATTGACCAGTCTGCCATGAGCCTGTCCACCATGTGCCATGTACCCCAGCCGCTGTCTTTGCATTTGCGCAGCGTCGAAGAGGAGTCCTCCTCATCCTCCTCCTCCAAAACCAGGAAGGTATCCAAGATCACGGTACCATCATCATCCACTCTTTCCACTGTTCCATTGACAGTGTCACCAATTTTGAAAGCATGTGTATCTTTCCCTTCCGCAGGAATCAATACGTCTATATCGCCATGGTCCAAAAAAGCTCCATGTACATTGATGCAGCGCACTAGACCATTGATCCGATCTCCCTTTTGGTAGAAATGCTTCCCAGGTGTATCCAAGGCTCCCTCTTTGGGCACTTTCTTCGTTGGTTCTTCAGAAACCGGAATTGTTTCTTCGGCTCCCGGAACGTCCCTTGGTTCCACCTTGGGGGCAAGCTTCTTGTCCTGCTCCACGAGTCCCACAAGCTCATCCACTTTGTGCTCCTGGAGGTCAGAACCATCCTCTTTTCCAGCCAATGGCTTTGCCTCATCCGTTACAGCTCGCTCGGTGTCGACTTCCGGCAAGCTTTCAGATGGCAACACTTCTCCCTTCCTGGGAGTGGACCCACCATTGGAGTCCTTTTTCAAACCTTCTGCAGCAGGCAAATTTCCTTCCACTACACAGGGCTATTGGATTGGTCATCCGCGGTAGGCATATTTTCTTCCACCGCAGGCTCCTTTGGCTCCATGGTTTCCAAAAGAGAATCACCACTGTTGTTGACCACAGCTGCCGCATTGGCTCCGGTGTAGCCTTCGCCATTTCGTTCCTGGCTGCTGACTTCAGGCTGCACCAGTGCGTCCACCTGTGAACCTCCATCGTCAGCTGCTACGGAGACCTGCGCCCCATTGTTGCAGTCATCCGCGGAACGTGACACCATATACGCCTCAACCCGTGCTTTTTCTGCACTCCAGGTACTATCTGGCACATTGACCCGCGCTTCATTGGCGCTCCAGGCCTCATCTTCCCGATCGACCGTGTCTCCAGCAGTTTCAGAAGCTTCCTTTTTCCCTTGAATGGCAGAACTCTTAGCACCAAACGAAGAGACCTCCTCAGTCGTAACGCACGATTTTTTCCCTCCGTCATCCAAATCTCCAGGACCATCTTCCTGAACGACAGGTACCACATCCACCACTCGCTCTTCTGCAGCCGACACAGTTCCAATCTCCGCATTGGGCATTTTGTCCTCTGGACCCACAGATTCCACCGCTGCCACACCCTCAGAAAGCGCTTCCGTTTCTTCCCGATCCAGATGTTCTCCAGCGATGTCTGCTTGGTTTCCAGAAATTCCTTCCTCTTCAGGAGAACCCGAGGTCTGGGCGTCAGCACCACCCCTAAGACCGCTATCCCCGATAGTAAAGGAAAAAACCTTTTCACTTACACTATTTACACCGCTGTTCACACTTTCCATGCTACCCTGCTGTGCCCTAGAAGACTCAGTAGGTGACGAGGACGAGGTAGCACCCGGCGCTGGCTCATCTTCCACAGGGACAATGCCCATTCCAACACCTGGCACCTCGCTATTTCCAGCCATTCCAGTCTTCTTAGGCAACACCCATTGGGTATCTCCAGTGTCCAAGCAGTAAAGATATATTCTCTTCCATCATCATGAAAATGGCGCTCCCACGTCTTCCCATCGCAGTCGATGATCGAAAAATCAGCAGCTTGAGACAATTTGTCTCCCCCAGCAGCATCTAAGTCTTCCTCTGACTCCTGCCGTATTCTCGCTGCTTCCAACTCCAGGATTTCTCCTTCACTCATCACCATAGCAACAGGAACGACTCCTTCTGCGTCCCCAGTAACGAGGATACTGCTTTTTGTCGCAGCAACAGGCGCAGTTTCCTCTGCTTCACCTGTCGACAGATCGCCACTTTCAGCCGCGAAGCTCACTTTGTTGCGAGCTCGCTTGGAAACAGGGATAACATCCCCAACCAGCTCTGCCTGGCACTCTTGCTCCACCATCTTCGATGTAGAGGAGCTTGTTTTTGACGCTCCCGTTGATTCCGCAGGTTCCGCAGCTCGAAGACAAAGCCCATGTTTGCTCAGAAGGCGTAGCAAAGCTACTTCCATCTGGTCTTCCAGTCCTTCCACCACCAGCTTCTCTTCGCCACGCGTACCACCAGCATCAACCAGAGCTTCCACATTGGGAACTATTTTTTCACCTGTTGCAGACCTTTTGACACCACCTTCACCTTGTTCGCCCACATTGGAGCTTGATGGCGCCGCACCAGTCTGTAGCCAATTGGTGGCCATTGCTTCAAGCTACCAACCTAAAGCCGAAACACAAACCGCAGGGAACCTAACTTGGGCTCATAACCTACGGGGGGCAACCGAAGGAGGACAGGGAACAAAACAGTCAACCCCAACAGAAGCCCTTGATCCCCTGGACCAACAAACAACAAACCAACCCAAAACACCAAGCACCCTTTCTTCTCCAGGCGCATGGCCCGATCCTTGAGCCAAAAAATTAGTACCGGGTTCATTGACCCTTTATTCTTTATCACCAACTCTTTTCTTTAATACAAACTGCAGCTCCGCACCCTAAACCCTAAACCCTCTAAGCCCTAAACTATTAAGGACTGTTAGTATAAGGGGGAACATCCCAAGGTTTAGGGACACAAAGAGTTCCGCGCCACCCTCAGCTCTAGAAAGCAAGGCCCGGTCTTACCTAGGGTTTAGGGTTTAGGGTTTAGGGTTTGGGGTTTAGGGTTTAGGGTTTAGGGTTTAGGGTTTAGGGTTTAGAGCTAGACTCAAATTCTGCAACCCCAAGAGAACAAACCCTGAGCTTGGGTTGTTCTCCCTGATTTAGCCTAGGAATGCAAAGGGTGCCCCTTTTGGTTTAAAGTTGCTAGGGTTTAGGGTTTAGGGTTTGGGGTTTAGGGTTTAGGGTTTAGGGTTGAGGGTTAAAAGGGAACCTAAACCCTAAGAAAAAGGGAATGCGGGCCTACTCTAAGTCCTAGCTGAAGTACTAAGCACCGCAATAGGTATTGGTAACAACACTTCCCCTTAAGCATTGCAATCCGTGCTACAGGCTGTTGCTATGGGTGGCGCGGAACATCCTGGACTGTTAGCAACGACAAACCCATGCACCCCATAAACCACATGAACCCAAACCGTATCCTACCTTTGGAGTAGACCCTGGAAAAAAAGTATATACTTTTTAGGTATAAGTAGCTATAATAGGAACCCAGAACCAAATAAAGTATTAAAGTACAGTACTCCAAAACCCAGGTATAAACCCGAACTCTAAACAACCTCAAACCCAAGAGGCCACCAACAAACTCAGATTTCCAAAGCCCTAAACCCTAAACCCTAAACCCTAAACCCTAAACCCTAAACCCTAAACCCTAAACCCTAAACCCTAAATGCTGGCCTTCTTGGCCTTCACCGCCTTCTTCGCAGGAGCCTTCTTCTCTTTTTTGGCCGGAGGAGGCTGGCTGGCCTCCATGTAGGGTTTAGGGTTAGGGTTTAGGGTTTAGGGTTTAGGGTTTAGGGTTTAGGGTTTAGGGTTTAGGGTTTAGGGTTTAGGGTCTAGGGTTTAGGGCTTAGGGCT